AGCATGGCTGGGCAAAAGCATGGTGCATTTGGGCACCCCAAAGGGTCACTCTCACAGCCGCATGCTTGCAGAGCAGATACTTTGAGCTACTGAGTCTTCGCCAGGTTTTGACAGAGCTGCTTTTTCTCATAAAAGAGAACACACAGAGTAGCATGGGCTATTGCCCCCCACCCACCTACCCCCCGCGCTTTCCACAGACATGACAATTGGCAAGCAACACTCTTCTCACAACCTCAAGAAAACATGAAGAATAAAAATAGGCAGAGAGACTTGTTTTGTTTTGGGGGGCCATACCTGGTGATGCTTGGGGGCTATTCCCGGCTCTATGGCACTGGGAGTCAAACCCAGGCCTCCTGCATGCAAACATTCAATATTCTTCCCTCTTTGCTGTGCTCAGTCTGTTGAGCTTTCTCTCCAGCCCAAGGAGGTAGATTTGAAAGAGAAACTGTACTTTCCCCATAGAAAATAACGACTCTAGTTGGAGTGCTATATTCCTTTGAGTTGCGTGTATAGTCTTTCAGTCTTTGCTGTATTCTTTATTCTAGGGAACAGATGACAATTAGGTCTCACTAGTTAACTGTGTTGAATTCCTATTTTCTACTATAGGGGCTCTGTGGTGTTTGTTTTGCACTAATAATAATGGCATTTTGAAGATGGGTAATGGTTCAAATGGCTTGGTGAGCCTGGGTTTGATCCTTACACCAGATGGCCCCCCCGGAGTACCTCGGAAAGCAACCCCCCAAGCACTGAGCCAATATTCCTGCACAGTGTTGGGCGGAACCCCCCCCAAATTTGAAAAAAAACAAAGCAGATTTTGTTAAGAACCACTTGAACTCTGAATAGCAGTTGGCAGTTTAAAGTATTATAAGTTGGTGTGTTTTAGAAGTTTTGCCTGAGTTTGAATCTCAGTTCTCACTTGGATTATAAATATATACTCTCTATGTCTGCTGAGTATTTGTAAAATAAGCTACAGTTAAAATGGAGATTACATGATAATTAGAAAGTACCAAGGGGTGCAGGTAGGGTGCTTGCCTTGCACATGGCCAGAGGTTTTGATACAGCACCCCTTATGGTTCTTCGAGCACTGCCAGGAATGATGCCTGAGAAGTACTTACTCCTAAGCATCACTGGGTGTGGCCCAAATACCACAAGGGAAAAAAGCGCCCAATTTTCTAACCCATTTATGATCTCTGTAGAAATTTCAAATTTAGATAGGACCCCCTCTGGATCCCATATACCTTTACTATAAATAGATGCATATTTGTCTGCCTCATTTACTAGCTATTTCTTCAAAACCAATGTCAGTGCTTCCCTGCCCCTCCTTTTTTTCTATCAGAACTCCAAGTGAAGTGTCTTCATCCAAAGTAGAGTAGGAATCCTTAAAGTAGTATCCTTCGGGGCTGGAGACCCACGTTCATTCGTTCCCTAGCATCCCATATGGCCCCCAGGTTTTGCCAGGAGTACTCCCAGAGCACAGAGCCAGGAGTAAGCCCTGAGCAATGTGGGTGTGGCCCAAAAACCAAGACAAAAAAGGTATCCTTAGAAATTATCTGGGGCAATTACTTAAATGTAAATTCCTGAGTTCCATAGGAAATAGATCTTCAGTGTTTAAATTAAATCATGTGTAAAGGTAAAGGTAAAGCCCTCCCGTTGATCGTCGATTTGCTCGAGCGGGCCCAGTAACGTCTCCATTGGAGACTTTTGTTGTTACTGTGTCTGGCATATCGAATACTCTCGGTAGCTTGCGGGGCTCTCCGAGAGGGGCGGAGGAATCGAACTCGGGTCGGCCATGTTGGCCGCGTGTAAGGCGAACGCCCTACCTGCTGTGCTATCGCTCCCGGCCATGTGTAAGATACTAATATAAGTCAAGATAATGAAGGTAAATATCAATATTTAAACAATTTTCAGAACATTCCAAATTCAGTTTTAATTTTATAGATTGAAATAATTTCTTATTACAATTTCATGGTGCTGGGCATGGAATCTAAGGTCTTTATAAGGCGAGTGCTCTAATACAGAGCCACACCCTTGGCCCTTAATTTTATAGGTTTATGATCAATTTACTTCTAAGCATGAAGATTAGTTGTTATTATAATTACCCACAGCCGTTGCCAAGCTCAGGCTGTTGCTCAATGGTAGGGCACCTGCTTTGCTTGTGTGGACCCTAAATTCAATACTTGGCACTGCAGAAAAAGAAAAGAAAAACAAACCCACAGAAATTATTGTATACTGCTGACAACAGTACTAATTAAAAATATTTATGAAAATTCCTTTAGATAATGTATGTGAAAAAGAACCCCAAACCTTTGTTCTTCCCTTTAATCAAGATTTGCTGTGTCCAGTGGGATGACGCAGAGGCTGAGGCGCTGGCCTCACCCATGGTTGCTGCCCCGACAGGGGCTCCCTCCTGGCTCGCACTGCCAGATGTACCCTGCTCCAAAGACTCACTGCTGGGTAAGGTTAGCTGATATCCTCACATCAGTTTATTAGAAAAGATGTTTGGTCTAAGATTTTGCAAAAGATCAAATTCCTCCTATCATGAAAGAAACTTGATATTCAGTAAGTTCAAGTAAAGACTTTCTTTTTCCTTATTTAACTTTTTCCTCCTTTTTTGAGTTCTGGGCTTTTTCGGCCTCCTGTGCTCAGGGCTTACTCTTGGCTCTGCACTTACCATTCATTCCTTATGGGCTTGAGGGACCACATGGGGTGCTGGGAATGGAATCTGGGTTGGCCACATACAAAGCAAGCATCCTGCTGGCTATAATATCTCTCTGCGTCCCTGTCCCCATTCAGTTGTCTAACTGCACATTATCTTAATATCTTCATAGCATTAACACCAGTCAGATGAGAGCTTGTAATCATTCTTAAAACTTTAAATTTCAAATTTTAAATTTTTTAAATTTTAAATTTCAAACTTTTGATTTGGGGGGGGGCGGAGACAGGGAGGGCCAGTTACAGATTTATCCTGCTGAGATATGAAGAATTTTATAAACAACTCTAAAGGAACATAAGGCAGATAAAGGGAACATTATGTTATAAATTATCAGCCTGTTTGATTATCCTTTGCACTGGAAATTGGCATGGCAGCTGGTATATAAGGATCCTGAACACACAGTGACACTCGGGGCATAAATTTCAAAGGAAATGGCTACACTGAAAGTTTCTTCTTAGGAAATGAGATAAAAATGCCCACACTTAGTGTCGAAGTATTTTTCAAATTATATGCAGAACTGAGTAGAAATTTGATAAATTCTTACTTTTTGGGCATGCTTGGGTTTGAATTTAGATCATCATATAGTTGAAGCATGTATTCAATGACTGATTACATCTCTAGCCTGAAAATCTGATAAAATTTTGAAATGACATACACCTATTCATTCATCAATATTTACCACTATAAGTGCGGATATTACCAGCATTGGGAGTTTTATGATATCTTTTAAAGGTTTTGCTCCAACTGAAGTGAATCCTTTATTGTATGTAGAGTGTGTGTGCGTGCGTGCGTGTGCGTGTGCGTGTATGGAGGTGGGGGAGGGGAACCACGGATCAAACCTAGGTCCTCAACACACACAAGGCATGTACTCCATCACTGAGCTACATCCTTGGCCTCAGAGTTAATTCTATTTTTTGGTGAAACAAGATAATTTTTTTGAGGGGTGGTGGTCATGCTCAGGGGTTACTCCTAGCTCTGTGCTCAGAAATTATTCTAGACAATGCTCTGAGGACTATATGGGATGTGGGGGAGCAAACCCAGTCAGCCTCTGCAAGGCAAGCACCCTACCTGCTTTATTATCTCTTTGGTTTGGGCTAGCAAACAAGACAAACAAGATAGGGTTTTTTCGTTGTTGTTTGTTTTGGAGACACACCTGGTGATACTCAGGAGTTACTCTTGGCTCTATGGTCAGGAATCACTCCTGGCAGTGCCCAGGAGATCCTACGGAACGCCTGGAATTAAGCCTTGGTAGGTCACATTTAAGGCAAGTGCCTTACAAGCTGTACTATTTCTATAGCCCTCTATCTGAAAATTGAAAAACTATCTGAAACAAGATAGTTTTTATTAAACAAAAATTGCTTAAAAAATGTTAGGAGAAAGAGAGAAGTACATATTCAAAAGAGAACACAGGCTTCTCCAGAGAAAAAAAAAGCAACACTACATAGAGACAAGCAAGTGAGACACATGTTCAAGGAGGAACACAGGCTTGAAGAGTCAGCGGAGTGCATTCTTCATGGCAGTGAAAAAAAGAAATTCTGTTGCTCATAAAGCATTGACAATTCTTTTTAATACCAAATCTCTTCCCTGTAGCACATTGCTTAGCAATAACTGGAAAATATTAATAGGTTTAACATCCATTGCTTAAATTATTTGGGGATAAACCTAAATTGTTGTATAAGATAAATTTGCTTAACCATCTGAACTAGTACATTTGAAATAGTAGCAAATTGACATGGGAAAAGTAATTGATGAATAAGCCTAGATGTCCTGTCAACATTGAAGTCTCAGCACAGTTTTATTGTTTGTACATTCACTACTATGAAGTGAAGATCCTTATTAGGCAACAAAACTCTGTCTCCTTGTGAAAAAAAAAAAAAGGGAAATTAGAAAAACTAGTAATGAAAGAAGGACCTCCACATACTGATGATCCTTAGCTCCAAAGAGAACTTTTATATAAACGGTAGAATGTGGTCTCTAAGAACTATGGTATGAATAAATGTATTTATTACATAGTCTTCACAAGGGTAAATCTTATTCAAGTTGAAAAGTTTCCAGAAGGGCCAAATGTTGAAAAACACATACTAGCATTAATAAAAGTTCCTTTAAGCATCTGAATCAAGAGCACATATGTATATACACAAACAAGAGTCTCAGCATTCTCAACAATATAGCCATTAAAAAAAGTGGTTGTTTTGTTTTCAAGTATGCTTCCCAGGGACTGGTAGGAGGTTCTCTCAAATTACGAGTAAAGACACTAGGTCATAAAGTGCCAACTCTCAGCACCAGAGAGACTTAACAATTCATAGAAGGTGAATGACATTACAAATCAGAGAAACTGCTGGTCTAGTTCTATGGAATTATATTCATTTTCTCAAATGGACAAAAACACAGCCTAATGCCAAATGGATTTAAAAACTATCAAAACTATTGGTTGTGCAGGGATTAAACCTCTTGCTCACATGAGGTGGACCCTGTTTCCATTCCCAGAACCACATGGTCCCCAGCATTTCCAGGAGCAGACCATGAAGAGAGAACCAGGAACAGTCCCTGAACAGCTCACAAGGAGCAAGACCCACTCCCCAGGCTCTCCCCACACAAAAACCAAACCAAACAAAAATCAAAAAAACCTTAGATCCTTTTAGAATGTTTTAGAATGCAATTTATAACACAATATAAAATAAATTTGCTGGTTTGAAATCAAATGCTTTGAGTTTCAAGATATGGAAAAAAGTAAGTTTATATAAATTGAGGTCCCAAAAAAGAAATTTACAAAAGTAGTCTCTTAGGGAAAGGAATAGCAAAATTCAGCGTACTTCCACTAACAACACCCAAATGCTGTTTTGTGGAAAGCCAGTTTGGACAACAAACTCTAAACTTTTCCCTGAAAAGGTCTGAGGCAAGACACTGCATGGACACACTTGAGTAGAAAGATAACATCTTCCTTCCTTGATTGTTCCTTTTGGACAAGCCAGCAGTCACTCAGAAATTCAGTTATATGATGGCTTGAGGAGCAGTGTCCATTGAATTTTCCTCCCTGACCTGAAGAGACTCACTGCTGATGGACAATAATTCTCGAAGTTCTTTATTCTCAAGCTGAAAAGACAAAAAGAAAAAAGATACATTGTTATTTCAGGTGTCAAAATGCATTAGAACTTTTTATTTGTTTGTTTGTTTGGTTTTTTTTTTTTTTTTTTGCTTTTTGGGTCACACCCAGCAATGCTCAGGGGTTACTCCTGGCTTTGCACTCAGAAATTACTCCTGGTGGTGCTTGGGGGACCATATGGGATGCCAGGGATTGAACCCAGGTTGGCCGCGTGCAAGGCAAATGCCCTACCCGCTGTGCTTATCGCTCCAGCTCCTATTTGGTTTTTTTTGTTACATTAGAACTTTTTGTAGTTCTGGGCCAGGAACAGAAAGCATATGATTTCAATCTTCTCTGCTAAATGGAAGGAAAGAAGAAAAGGGGAAGAAGAAACCATTTAGCAGGCCTGCAGCCAGGTATCACAGGGTCAAACTTCTCTTAGTTCACAAAAACATATATGGCAGTAGGTTATTTTTGGATTCTCAATCCAATACGAATGTTTTTCCCAATAAAATCAGATTTGTTCTACATTTTCTTAGTGCTGTTTCCATAGATGGACTAAATTAAATCAGAAATAGGCATTTGAAGTGTAAGCCCTACTTGGGATCTTGTTTCTCCCCTTCATTTCTATAGAGAGCAGCTGACATCCATCATCCTCATTGTCTCCACAGGAGAGTCTGACAAACCAGAGCATTTTCAGGCCCTGAGAATAAAACCTTCTGCCATAAAACCCATCATGGAACATGGTGGAGCATAGCAGTAATCCTGCTGCCAGCCATTCTCTGCCACTCTACCATCCTTGCAGCCCGGGGGCAAGTGTGCTACCTGCAACAATCACTGCAAAGTATGTGTGTGACACCCAAGCATGTATATGACACCTGGTCACTGCAACAGCATCAACAGAGGGACGGAAGAAAAGAAAATTGTCTGCCATAGAAAGTGCTTCCTAGGTGGGAGCAATAGTATAGCAGGTGGGTGCTTGCCTTTCACGCTGCGGACTGGTATCCCACATGGTCCCCTGTGAGTTCAAAATGTGGGTGCGTGCCGCGTGCATTTGGTGGTTGAGAACTGCCTCCCTGGCCTCCCCAACAGAGGAACAAAGAGATGGGGGACCATAGACTGATGGTCAAAATGTCCTGTTTAATGTTCAGAGCTGCTGGCATACTAATCTGAAGGGGTTTGAGACATAGGACTGCACATAAGTGTGACTGATCATTTATAGAGGGAAAGCATTTCAGTGAGGGCAGTTCTCTTGGGGAGATTAATTCAAGGAGACACTCTTTCTCCCAGGGGCTATATGGAGAGATTCACCCGGGGTCAATAAGCATTATATTGCTTTTTTCTTTCCCTAGCTACTAGTAAGTATTAAGCAATTAAGTTTACTTCATATTAATACGTGCAGTTATTTAGATAAACACAGTAAGAGATATTGGTTCCAAAACTTAGTTCTCTGGGCTCCGAGGGCAGGGCTGCTGGGCTTCTACCATAAATCCCAGACTAGGTCCTCAGGCTGGTTTGGTTCTTTCTTCCCCATGGGGGTCCTGTCTTTTAAATCATAATGACTTGCATCAAGACCATAATTTTATGCTTTCTAGATTGTTCCATTTCGATGCCAGGGTAGCTTCACTGCTCATCCCAGGTCCATCCTTGTGGGGTGTTAGGAATTATGGCACCCAAAGTCTGAGTCAAGTAATTATAATGGATGCCTAGGAGTAGATCTATTTCAGAGTCAATCAACTCCCAAATATTAAGAGCACAGCACTCACAGTCTTTCTGTATTTAAGCAAAAAACAACTGTTCTATAGCAAAATATCAAAAGGCTATAGGGGGAATTGAAAAGCAAGTAATTCATTTCATATATGAAGCCCAGAGTCACTAGAAGGTTTTGACTTAGTAACTAATACAAAGGAAAGGTTAAAGATAAACTCAAGGGATTAGGGGTGTTTGCTCATAAGTTTCTCTGGGAAGAGGAAAAAAAGGCAATTCATTGAAGAAGCCTAAAACACTTAGGGTTAATATCTAATAGTCTGCTGAGCCCTGCTAGGAGTGATCTCTGAGCAAAGAGCCAGGAGTAAGCCCTGAGCACTGCCAGGTGGGCCCCCAAAGCAATAAGTACATTCATAAATAAAAATTCTTCCTCCAGTACTCGTCTCTCTCCTAGTATCGATACACCATTTTCACATCATATAACTAGTCCTATTCTTACTATTAGATGCTAAGCAGCAATTCTACTCCTTTATCTCTAATATTTCTCTATTTTTGTTATCATATAAATATTATTATTTGTTTATTGGTTTTTGGCTCACACCCAGTGGTGTTCAGGATTTACTCCTGGTGGGGCTCGGGAGACCATATGAGATACTGGGAAAGAACCTGGATCAGCAGCGTGCAAGGCAAGGACACTACCCGCTGTACTATTGCCCTGAATTCATACTTAACTTTTATTGTTGTTGTTTTTGGGCCACACCCACCTGTGCCCCAGGGATGACTCCTGGCTCTGTGCTCAGGGATCACTCTTGGTGGGCTCGGGGGACCATGTGGGATGCCAGGAATGAACCTGGGTTGGCTAGTTGCAAGGCACGTGCCCTATCCACTGTACTATCTCTCTGGCCTATTTTTAAGACATTCTTTTGGGGAAGATTATTTTTTTTCTGAAGAAAGAAGAAACAATGCATTATAAAATTATACAAGTTTCAGGCATGAATCATTGAATATTGCTTTAAGTACTTTATATATCTTTTTTGGAATTTGTTTCCATAATTTTAATATGCAGATCTTGATATTTCCTGATCAATTTAAGACATTTGACTATTTATTTATTTACTTTTTGCTTTTTCTTTGGGTGCACAGGGGTTACTCCTAGCACTCCTGGCAGTGCTTGGGGGGGACCATATGGGATACTGGGAATTGAACCCGGGTCGGCCGCGTGCAAGGCAAATGCTCTACCCACTGTGATATCGATCCAGCCCCTTGACTAAATTTTATAGTAGATGATGTAATTTAGCTCACATGTAATCTGTCTCTTACAATATAACAGTAACTCAATTTTCAGCTGCTACATAATTGCATCTTAATTGTTTGCTGCCGATTACATTTCCTTTCTTTAAATGGGTATGGAGAGGTGTTTAGTGTGTGTGTTGTGTGTGTGTGTGTATGTGTGTGTAGCAAGATAGTTTTTTTTTTTTTTGGATCACATCCAGTGATGCACAGGGGTTACTCCTAGCTCTGCACTCAGGAGTTACTCCTGGTGATGCTCAGGGGACCATATGGGATGCTGGGAATCAAACCTGGGTCAGCCACGTGCAAGGCAAATGCCCTACCTGCTGTACTACCGCTCCAGCCCCAAGATAGTTTTATTGAAACTTAGAAAGATGAGAGGAGATAGTAAGGAAATACATGTTCGAGAGAGAATATGGGCTTCTCCAGAATGGAAAAAGTAGAGACACAGAGACAAGTAAATAAGATATATTCAAGGGCAAACATAAGCTTGAGGAACAAACCTTAAATTTTAAGTCATGAGCATAAAGAAAACACCAATATACTGCAGTGGTAGAATACTGAGGATAGATTTTCTAGGCCATGAAAACTTGCTGAAATACTGTGAATTTAAAATTGCAACAACCTTAGGGCCAGAAAGAGTAATTGGGGCTGCCAGGAATTCCTGAGTGCTGAACCAGGAGAAACCCTGGAGCATTGCTGGTGTGGCCCAAAACCAAAAATAATAAAATAAAATAAAATTTCAACAATCTTACCTCTAATTGGGCTAGTTTTTCACGAATTTTACAAAACTGGTCATCATCCAACTGAACCGCTTTCCTCATTACTTCTCCCATTTCACAGATTCGGTCAATCTGACTCTCAATTTCCTGTGGAAAGAATAATATATTTAAAAATGTGAAAACGTCTTTTTTCCTCTTACAGGTAATTTCTTGAGAAGATTTACATTATGATGTTAAAAAGTTAATTTTATTTATATCACTGAGGCTACACTTGAATCCTCAGAGATAAAGACATAATAAAGTTATTTTGTGGTATACACAAATAATTGGATTTTAAAAGATCAGCCCTGGTCTAACCACCCTTTGGATGTTGGACAGTATCTCAAAATGGCTGCCTAACTTAAATTTGAATATTTTTTATTGGCAGGAAGCAATTCTGTTGTAAGGAACCTTATTTTATTTTTGGATATATTTTAGCAAGTTTCATATATGAACTAAATCCTAACTCCTTCCAGGTTCAAGCTTTCTCCTCTGGATTCTAGCTTTTTTTTTCTTAAGTTTGTGTTTTTATTATAGTTTAGGCAAAATAATTACATTAGTGTTGAAGTTTATGGTATTGATGCACAAATCACTGCTCCCTCCAACCCCCAAATACCCAGCCTCCCCATGTTACCTGTGGTCTGATCTCTGTTCCTCCCATCCCCCCCTACTGCTAGATGATCAACTTTGTAATCCAGGGCCAAGATATCATTGTTCCTATCTATTTCCCAGTCTTTATACCAGAGCTTCTTATAATGGGTTGCAAGCTATCATTTAACTAGGGTGGTGTAACTTCTTAAAAATTTTTTTTAAATGAACTTCATTGTGATTATTATCAGTAAATGTTTGCCTTATATATCTATTTTATGTACTTATATACCCAGTGTCATGTAAAAATTTCTTGGGCCAAAGGGGACATGAGTGGAAGAGGTTTAAGAAACCCTGCTTCAGACCAAGATTTTTTTTTTTTTCTTTTTGGGTCACACTGGCGATGCACAGGGATTATTCCTGGTTCTGCACTCAGGAATCACCCCTGGTGGTACTCAGGGGACCATATGGGATGCTGGGAATAGAACCCAGGTTGGCCGCTTGCAAGGCAAACGCCCTACCTGTTGTGCTATTGCTCCAGCCCCCAGACCAAGATATTTTTTCCTTAAGACTTATGTTCAATCGAGCTGGAGTAATAGCACACGAATAGGGCATTTGCATTGCACACGGCCGACCTGGGTTCGACTCCCAGCATCCCATATGGTCCCCTGAGCACCGCCAGGAGTAATTCCTGAGTGCAGAGCCAGGAGTAACCCCTGTGCATCGACTAATGTTAAATCAGTAAAATGCTTTTTCACTGGAATCTAAGATGAAATTTGTCTTTCATAAATTCACAGTATGGTACCAATCTGTCAAACCAGATTTAAATTATATAACGCATGAAGATGTATGATGATAATTAACAGAAGACAATTACTTGCTCTCCCAAATTAAAGCACAAACAACCAAAAAAACTATGCCATCTACATGTATTCTTAAACCGTATTTATTTCCCTTGTCAATATGGTATGATGCCATATAGTTCAGGGTACACCCAGTGGTGCTCAGTGCTTACTTTTGGGTCTATGTTCAGGGATTATTTCTGGCAGTGCTGGGGGACCTTATGCAGTACTGGAGTAGCTGCATGTATTGGAGTAGCTGCATGTACCAGTACTAGGGGTAGCTGCATGCAAGGCAAGTACTTTAACTCCTACACTATTGCTCAGGTCCCTATACCTCAGTTTAACTGCCTATGTTAAGAGGTAAAAGATGAATTTAAGCTCCTTACAAAAAGATCTTTATTATTTAGTGAAATGTTCAATAATACTATGCAAATATTTTTAAACACCTTCAATATTAATTAATTATGTATGGAAGAACTATTTGCTCTTTTTCGGGTGTTGTGGGGGCTGTGGAGAGTACACCCAGCAGTACTCAAGACTTAGTCCTTATCCTAAGCTCAGGGATCACTCCTAGTGGCTTGGGGGTTATATGGAGCCGAGGATAGAACTCAGGTGGATTGAGTACAAGGCAAATGCTGTACCATTGCTCTCTGGCCCAGAACTAAGTGAGGGAGGTACCTTACTTCCACTCAAAGGGACCTGAGCAATCTGGCTGTCATATTTCCTTTTATTTTTTTTAACTAAATGGCATCATTTTGCTGTATCTAGAATTAATTTTTGTGTATTTTAATTTCCTTCCAGTGGTTACAGAACACTTTATTATTCTATTTGCATCTTTACAGTATCATAGTAAAATGAACAATGAATGTGATGAATATGAAAATGAATTGTTTTCTTTTTATATTCATCACATCCTTGATGAATTTGTCAACAACAAACACAGTCAAATAATTTTAAGATTTCAATTCAGTTATTTTAGAATGGACCTCATTAAAGTTTCTTACCGCAGAATGGCACTGATGAGCTTTCAGGACTGGTTCAGCATCCACTGCTTTTTTAGCAACCATTAGCTGCAACATCTGTTTCCGGTACTTGCTCATGATGAGTTCCAAAGCATCCTGGTGTTCCTCCAAAGAAACCCAGAGCTCTATCAAAAATAAAAATATAGGGGCTGGAGCGACTGAACAGTGGGTAGAGTGTTTGCCTTGCATGCGGCTGACCCGGGTTCGATTTTCAGCATCCCATAAGGCCCCTGGGCACAGCCAGGGGTAATTTCTGAGTGCAGAGCCAGAAGTTACCCCTGTGCATTGGCGAGTGTGACCCACAAAGCAAATAAATAAATAAATAAATAAATAAAAATAACAAGTTGGCAGTGATGGCTATGAGAAAACTTCTAAAGACAAATTAACGTCGAAATTTTAGAACTTTCCAAGAGACAAGTGTGAACCCAATGTCATAAACCAGAGTTTAAGTCCACAAGACTCAACATTTAAGAAACCTTAAGTGAAAAGTAACTTTCTAGGCAGAGCCATATAGCTGGGAGGGGGGGAGGAGAGAAGACAAGAATCAGAAGACATGGTTTAAGTTCAATTCTATGAGTTACTGGTTACCAACGTTTAAGCTAACCTCTCATTTAACCTCTCTATTCCTTTTTTGATGCTGGGGTGAAGAGGGGGGCTTTCCCAAGCTGTGCTGGGGGGTGATGATTTAGGGACCACTGACTGTTGGCATTTCAGTGCTAGAGCGAGAGCATGTCTGGTTTAATCAGGACAGGTGGAGCTAGGGGACAAGAGATCCCAGGAGGATTTGTGGGGGCCTCTGCCAATGCTTGTGTGGGAGAGAACCCAAATCTGGCGCATGCAAGGCCCGACCCCTATCCCATACCCTTCCCTCTATTTCTTTTCTGGTTGTAAAAATAACACCTGGCTGTGTATCTCAAGATGAAGATTTGAGAATACAAATGGACATGGGAAGGCCCTGTAAGCTGAAAGACAAATAAACTTCCTGCTATGTAATATCATTAATAATGTACTCAACCAGTCTCTGACGATAAACTGCAGTACTTCCTTGTTGCACAAGAACACAAAACAGTTTAATCTTGTGTTTACTTTATTTCTATTTACCATTATATATTTAAACCCCGCAAATCTCCATCTTGGGGCTACCTAATTGAGCCATGCAATAATTCAACTCCAATCAGCACCTCTGAAAAATACCACATCAATCTGATGACCCTGAAGAGGGTAACAGAACTGTGGTCACTGGGCCAGTGCAGGATAAAGCTCCTGGATGAAACCCCACTCGCCACCCAAATAAAAGTTATCAGTCTGGATATTAACATGCATTTTGGTGAACAGCGGAGACAGTTTTGCAAGAACTTCTGCAAGGTTACTGAATGAGAAAACCGTCACTACAAAACGGTCTAACCTCTGTTTTCCTGCTGCAAGTCCCGAATCTGTGTATTCTCCTGGGACAGCAGAATGTGCGGTTTGTATTTGGACATGTCCTTGACGTCGGAGGTGTCCTCTTGATACTAAACAGAGAGAAACAGACCACAGCCAGAGTTCGCCTCCCGAGCTCGCTGGGAAAACGCTGACCGCCCCCTCGCAGACAGGGGAAGTCAGGCCCTGCTCACTACCCCCCACCTCACGCACCGCCCGCAGAAGCCCAGAACCTGCGGGCAGGACAGGCCCCGGTGCCCGCCGACCTGGTCGGGAAGCGCCGCGCCCGCCTCCCGCATCGCCGCCACCCGGCGGTGTAGCGCCGCCGACTGGTCCACTAGCGACTCGGCCGCCGCGTCGTGTTCCCGAAGCCGCTCCAGCAGCGTCTTGGCGTCCGTCAGGATCTTCTCGATGGTGCAGCTCATCGTGACCGCAGGACAGCAGGCCCTGCCGGCTCCGGCCTTTGGCTCGGCGTCATCCACGTCACTTCCGTGTACGTTTCGCAGGCGACAGGCTACGCTCTGCGCCGGCCGTCTGCCGTGCTGTTGCCCGCGCTCAGCCCGGGCCCCGCAGCCGCGCCCTGCAGCAGCCCTGTGGTCAGCCAGGCCCTGAACCCGCGCCCTGCAGCAGCTCAGGCACTCAGCCCCGGCCTTGCAGCCGCGCCCTGCAGCAGCCCCGCGCTCAGCCGGGCCCTGCACCCGCGCCCTGCAGCAGCCCGGTGGTCAGGCCGGGCCCTGCAGCTGTGCTCTGGACCCCACAGTCAGCCGCGCCCTGAACCCCCGGTCGCCCGGGCTCTGCAGCCGGGCCCTGGACCCCGTGATCAGCCGCGCCCGCAGCGGCGCGCCGGAGCCGCTGGGCGCACGCCCAAGCCCTTGCGGCCACGCCCTCGTTTCCTGTTCCCACGGTCTGGGGATCTTGTGAAACTTGGGCGGAGTTTTTTTCCCTCTGCTAGTTTTTGGTTTTGTGATAAAGTCGTGATTTTTTTTCCTTCTCAGTTTATCTTTTGATTTGGAAACTGGTAAAATACTCAGATCACACCACCTTAAAGTGGGCAGTGCTTTAGCAGTTAGTGGATTCACGTTATGAGACTATCTCTGCTGGAGATCCATAGATCTTAGCTGCAGAACTCTTTGGTTTTCTAAACAAATTCTGGTTAACTAAAATTAATTTCTTTTTTGCTTTCTCTCCCCTTCCCCTCCCCTCCTTTTTTTTGTGTTTGGGTCACACTCGGCGGTGCTCAGGGATTATTCCTGGCTCTGCACTCAGGAATCTCTCTTGGCGGGTTTGGGGGAAACTTCTGGGATGCAGGAGGTCAAACCCCGGTCGGCGGAGTGCGAGGTAATATTGCCTTGCCGACTGTACCAGTGCTTGAGTCCTTGAATTCGTGGCTTAGTACAAGTCATACTTAAATCCTTTTTTTTTCTTTTTGGGTCACACCCTGCGATGCACAGGCGTTACTCCTGGCTCATGCACTCAGAAATCCCTCCTGGCGGTGCTTGGGGGACCATATGGGATGCCGGGAATTGAACCCAGGTCAGCCGCGTGCGAGGCAAATGCCCTAGCCGCTGTGCTATTGCTCTGGCCCCTTAAGTCCTTTTTCTAACTGACTTATTTCACTCTATTCACATTCCTTACTTTAAGGAACCTAGAGGTTTTTTCTATTTTAAGATTAAATATTGTGTATCTTTTGCGTGTTCATTTATGAGCCCTTGATTTGCTTCTACCGTTTGGCTGTAGTGAATAAATGCGGGTGTACTTATGGGAGTTTTCTTTTTCTTTTCTTTCCTTCTTTTGGTTTTGGGGCTACACCTGGCCATTCTCAGGGTTTATTCCTAACTCTCTGCTCAGGGGTCACTCTTGACATTGCTCCAGGGACCATATGAGGTGCCATGGATCAAGCCCAGGTATGCTGGTCAATAAGGCAAGTGTCCCACCGGCTGTGCTGTCTCTCCAGTCCCTCTCCCAGCAGTTGTTTCTCTTTGCTTTCTTCTTCTGTTTTTTGTTTTGTTTTGTTTTGTTTCTGTCACACCCCATTGTGCTCAGAACTTACTTCTGGTTCTTGGCTCAGGGATCACTCCTGGTGTTGCTTGGGGGACCATATGACATGCTGGGGATTGAGCCCAGGTTGGTGATGTGCAAAGCAAGTACCCTAACAGCAGTACTATTGGCCTCTGCTTTTTCATTAACCCAAGACTTATTCAGAATCCATAATTATGTTGTTTAGTCTCCAGGTTTTTTTGTTTGTTTGTTTTTGTTTTACATTGATTAGTAATTCCTGGGCTGGAGCGATAGCACAGCGGGTAGGATGTTTGCCTTGCATGCGGCCAACCCAGGTTCGATTCCTCAGTCCTTCTCAGAGAGCCCGGCAAGCTACTGAGAGTATCCCGCCCGTGCAGCAGAGCCTGGCGAGCTCCCCGTGGTGTATTCAATATGCCCAAAACAGTAACAACAAGTCTCACAATGGAGACGTTACTGGTGCCTACTCAAGCAAATTGAAGAACAATGGGAGGACAGTGCTACAGTGACAGGAAATCTTAGTCTCTTTTTGTGCAGAGATAAGACTTAATATGATTTCAGTTTTTATATATTTATAGAGCTTAGTTTTTTCCCCACAGCATTTGATTTGTCCTTAAGATGTGTTCAATGTGCTCTTCAGAAAAATGTGTATTTAGTTCTTTGGAATAGAAATTTTTGTATAAATTTATTAAGTGTACCTCATCAATAACTTCATTTAGTTCTTTGTTTTGGAAGGCCAGAAGCAAACCCAGAGTTTTGGGCACTTACCTTGAACTTGCCAACATGGATTCGATCCCTAGTATCTCATAGGATCTCCTGAATACAGCCAGGAGTAATTCCAAAGTGCAGAGCCAGGAGTAATCTCTGAGCACTGCCAGGTATGGCCCTCATCAAAATAAAGCGAACCCCAAAACCCCCAAACCCACAAACCATGGGGTCTCACACATGCAGGGCAAGTGCTCTGCTGCTGAGTCACATTCACAACCCCCAGTGACTTTATTAACATCTTAATCCCCTGCTAACTTTACTCTGGATGATGTGTTACCATAAATTGTATTCTGAGAGCCCTGGAATTGAGTTGGGGCCCAGGTATGCCGTGAAAGGTGCCTGTGTGTCAAACACATATATATTGATGCTGATTATATCCTTTTATTTGAATTACTCTTTGATCTATATACATATTATTTAACTTTCCCCATTTTCAGGTGGAAATCCATTTTTTGTTGTTTTTATTTTTTATCTATACCCAGCTGTGTGCAGGAATCATATGCTCTGGGGACCAGATCTAGGGACCATATGCAATGCTAGGGATTGAACATTCATGGTCACCTGCATTCAAGGCAAGTGTCTTAACACTTGTACTATCTCTTGGGCCTTTCAATCATTTATTTTTTATAGGAATATCAGTTCTTTTTGTTTTCTTGTTTGTTTTTGGACCACACCTGGCAATGCTAAAGGGTTATGCTTGGCTCTGTGCTCAGGAATTACTCCTGGCAGTACTCAGGGGGCCATATGGGATGCTGGAGAGTGAACCTGGGTCAGTTGTGTGTAAGGCAAATGCCCTGCCCACTGTGCTATTGCTCTGGCCCTTGGAAATATCAGTTCTTAGCCTTGCCTCTGCAGTTCTTATCTTGTCTCTGCCTGATTTGGCATACTTTGCTCCAGTCTTTTAATCTAAGCTTATGTTTGTTTTCATATCTGTTGTGAGACTCTAGTATGCATAATATAGATGGATCCTTCTGCATTTTTTTAAAAAATTATTGAATATTCATGAGATAGACCATTACAAAGCTGTTCATAATTGGGTTTCAGTCATACAATAATTCATCCCTTCACCAGTGCATATTTGTCACCCCCATTGTCTCCCATTTCCCTCCCCCATCCCCCAACACCACCCCACTTACCCCCACTTTTCTTCTTTCTCTCTGTCCTTTTGTGCATTATGGTTTATAATACAGGTGCTTAGGTCATCATGTTCATTCAGTATTTTTATCAGTAAGGTAAAACTGGAATAGCTTTTTTAACAGGGTGAAATCTTTTGGGTGTGGATATGACTGCTGAGACTTTGGAAGTACTGGGAGGTGGTTGAAGACTTTGGAAGTACTGGGAGGTGGTTGAAGACTTTGGAAGTACTGGAAGGTGGTTGAAGACTTTGGAAGCACTGGGAGGTGATTGAAGACTTTGGAAGTACTGGAAGGTGGTTGAAGGTAGCCCATACCAACCCTAAGAAAGCCTGGAAATTTCAGTCACAGAACCCGCATACCTAATTTTCAGAAGATTATATCTCGGTGAGGTCTAGCCCAAGACAGTGGAGTCCTGCCAGGGGCATGGCAATGATTTTGGATTGGGGAAACAAGTGGTTTATGGGGGCTCTGCTTGGGTGGGCACCAGGCTGAATCTACCCCCCCCCCCCAATTTACCCTGGTCTGTTCAGTTTTGTGTGGGTCTGAGATTAACTACGGCTTTTGATCTTTTTTGAGATTTATTTATGGGTCTCTGAAGCAAGGCAGAAAGAAGAGCTTGTATAGCTGAGCCAGAGGTGGTTTGTAGGTGTGGCTCCCACATACTAACTGTTGGCCATTAAAGGAAACTTGATCTTGAGTTGTTGGGGTCTGACCAGAGGCAGAGCTGCAATTTTGGAGAATCAGGAAGCCTGAAGGCACCATCAAACTGATGCATTCACCCCACAGGTACAAGTTGACTTGCTGGTGGCACCACAACCCCATCCTGCTGGGTTTTTTGGTTTGCTTGTTATGCCTCTTGGACCACAGTCAGCAGTACTCTAAGAGTACATGGTGCCATTGATTGAATCAGGGCTCCTGCATGCAAAGCATTTACACTTTAGTTCTTTGAGCCATTTTCCCAAGCTCTGTTGATTTTTTTTTGGTTGGTTGCTTTTATTTGGTTTCGGTTTTGAATTCAGTCATTCATCCAGTGACTTTTGATTGGTGTGAGTTGAAACCACTCTCACATGATATCCAAATATGTGCCTTATTATTGTCACTATATATATATATATATATATATATATATTGCCACACCCAAAGGTACTCAAAGTCTTGCCCTAGCATGGTGCTCTGGAGTCATTCCTAGTGATTTTCTAGCATCCATGCATTGCCAAGGATCAAACCTGGGCCCCCTGTATGCTAAGTATGTGCTCTAGCACACTGAGCTAATTTCCTGCAGCCTTGTCATTCTGTCTTTTGTCTTCTGTAACTTGATCCATTTTTTGGTCTCTTTTCCCTTTGGAGAGGAATGAACATTATTCTTACATTTCTTATTCTTTTCTTCTTTGATTTTTTTTTCTTTTCTTTGATAATTGGGCCAGACTACTCCTGCTCTTTGTTCAGGGTACATGAGAGATCAGGCAGTGCTGGGGATCAAACCTGGACCTTCTGCATGCAAAGCATCTACTCAGTCCTGTATAAGGCTCAGCTTTCTCTCTCTGGCCCTTAGTTTTTTTCTTGCAATAATTAC